AATCGTCTGAATGAAAATAACCCAAGTCCTCTTCTAATCCCTGCCTATCCCTTTTTTATCTGTGGATTCAGAGCAGGCAGAGCAGTTGGAGCTGTGAGCCTGAGAACTACCGCGATGCATCTGACGTTCCCTTAGGTCTTATTTCCTTTGATTAACTGTAGTTTAGTCTTGTAGAGTTTTAGTTGCTTGCAGATAGGAGAAAACATGAGCCGTCATTTTCTTCCTGCTTTTTGCCTCGCTTTAGTTTTTCTTCCCCTTTTAAGCACTTCGTGTCCTTCACAATGCAGCTGCTTCTTTCACAAGTTAAGTGATGGATCAAAAGCAAGGTAAGTTATTTTAATTAAATTATTCTACTGCTGCTTTCCACTATTTGATCACTCTATGTAATAAGCAGTTTTCCTGGGCTTTTATTTAATCTGTTTAGCTTGTTACAGAGCAATAGGTTACCACCTTTTTTCCTAAGAATGTTTATTAAATCAAAATAAAAGCTTAAAAGATGTTTGGTTACTCAGGAAACCTCCATTTCTACACTCCCATTTGTACAAAATTATTGTCACATTTATTCTCAGTTGGAAGATAATATCTCTTTAACTTATTTCTTTAGGAGTGTGCTATGTAACGACCCAGAGATCACTGTGATTCCTCCAAATTTCCCTTCTGACACATCAAAGCTACGTATAGAGAAGACTGCAATTACGCGCATCGCAAGCAACAACTTTCACTACCTCAACAGTCTGGAGTTTCTCTGGATGTCATTCAATTCCCTGAACTCACTTAATGCAGACAGTTTTCGGGGTCTCTACAACCTGGATGAGCTCCGGCTGGATGGAAACTCCCTCACTTCCTTCCCCTGGGAAGCTCTGATCGACATGCCGATCCTGAGACTTCTAGACTTACATAACAACAAGATATCCTCCATCCCGGCCTCGGCCATCATGTACATTAAAAACATCACCTATCTGGATTTATCCAGCAACAGCCTCACCACACTTCCTGCTGAAGCACTGACAATGTGGCTGAGCGTGAAGCCTTCCCAAGACTCAGAGTCTTCCAAACTTATTCTGGGTAAGGATCAAGCTTTGGCACTTAGTATACTGGAAAGTTTTTTTAAGAACTGCCTTTGAGTTAGGGATTAGTCTAACAATAGTTATTACGTATCTACAGTCTTTCAAGGGGCTTGACTAATTTAAATGTAAATATTGTCTAAGCATACAACCTTTGTTTCTTTTGGTTCTGCAGGCCTTCATGATAACCCATGGCTGTGTGACTGCAGACTCTATGACCTCGTCCAGTTTCAGAAGTCCCCATCATCATCCGTGGCACTAATTGACACCAGGCTGAGGTGCGCTGATCCTGAAAGCCTGTCTGGAGTTTTCTTTACTGAAGCGGAACTGCAGAGGTGCCAGGCCCCCAGGGTTCACACGGCTGTCGCTCGCGTTCGGAGCTCTCTAGGCAACAATGTCCTGCTGCGCTGCGGAACTGTTGGTGTCCCTATTCCGGACCTGTCCTGGAGTCGTGCTGATGGCAAGAAAATGAATGGCACAGGTTAGTTCAGTCCTTTTACTTTTGTCCAAGCCTGAATAACAGAAAAATCCATTATTATCTTATTTGTCCATTTCTTCAACTCCATGGGTGTAATTGTTGGATTTATTTTTTTCTTTCAGTTCAGCAAGAGCTTTCAAAGGAAGGCATCATTTGGTCAATCCTGAGTGTCCCTGCAGTCTCCTACAGAGATTCTGGGAAGTATGTGTGCAAAGCCACCAACTTTGTGGGTACTGCAGACGCCATCATCTCCTTGGTAATCACCGACTCCATTCGCTCGGAGGAAGCAGTCAGTGGCGTTTCTAAGAAAGGCAGCAGAAAGAAACCTGGCAGCATGGGAAGAGCAGCATACCAGGAAAAACTCATTGCAAGATATGTTCCGCCACCAACAAGTACTGCTGCCCAGCCTATTATTGAACCTCTTAATGGTAAAGGAGTGACTGGGAGGTATGAAATTGAGAGCTACAGTGTTTCTGATGGGATTTCTCAAGGAACGGCGAAGGGATCTTTCCCTAAGAAGTCAGGGGAGGTGGGTCAAGAAGGCTTGAGTAACTTGGTGGCTAATGCATCGTCCCTGCAGCAACTTCCTGAAAAGAGGGTGGTACGTTCAGTGAAGGTAATCGGGGACACAGATCACACTGTCTCTTTAAACTGGCGTGCCCCAACAGCGACCAACACCACTGAATTCAGTGTACTATATGCTGTTTTTGGTGAGAGAGACATGCGTCGCATTAATGTGGGTGCTGGGAAGAACCGTATCACCATTGAAGGCCTTGTTCCAAAGACAAAGTACATTGCATGCATTTGCGTCAAAGGCTTGATTCCGAAAAAGGAGCAGTGTGTAATCTTCTCAACGGACGAAGCTGCCAGTGCCAGCGGGACTCAGAAGCTCATTAATGTGGTGGTGATAACCGTGGCATGTGTGATCGCCGTGCCCCTAACTCTGATTGTGTGCTGCGGTGCGATAAAGAAACGCTTACAAAAGATGCTGGGCAGGCAGACAAAAGACATGCAGGACTCCTATGTAACGTTTGAGACTCTTGGTCCTGGAGGCAAAGCTAAAGGGATGGAAGGTGAATATCTGACCAGATTAAACCCAGATGAATCCAACAGGCTCCTCTCGGCGAGGTCTAGTGTTGACTCGGAGGCTATAGCGAGGACTGAAGGGCCACCTAATGAGTACTTCTGTTAAAACAGAGAACACACTCGGTCTCAAGAAGACGCACTTTGTTTTAAGGATGATGTTTATTGAAAAGGGGACAGGACTGATCAGAGACTCAAGTGGACGTTTTGTTTTGAGAATTGCCTTTACAGGAAGAGACTCAACAATAAACTTTGACTGGAAGCAGAAATGGAAAACAAGGTCAAATAAGTGATTTTTAACATAATATATTTATTTAAAAATATCTTTTTTTTAATTCTGTTATGCACCAATGGAAGTGATGTTTTTTTCTCCTGATGCCCTCAACTTTCAAAAACCCAGTTATCTGTTTTCTTCCTTAATGTAACTTCTGCTTTGTGTTCAAATCTAATATTATAAATCGAAAAGTTTAGAGAACCAACAGTCTCTTTAGTCTGTTTTTTATGTCAGTAAGATAATGTGCCAGATTGGCTGTTGGCTCAGTTTCCTAAACTACAATGCATTTTGTAATATGTAAACATTTGCAATATTAACTTCATGCATCTTACTGAAAATAAACATTTTTTTATATTGAAATATGTTCATAAGTTATTTCCCTGAAATCAATGAATGAATAAAAGCAATGGAATGAGGTGAAAATGAAAAGGCCAATTTGAAATGCTTCTGTTAGACTGATCACATAACAAGAGGATGAGGAGAAACAAATAAATAGTTTAGAGCTGGGAATCCAAATCCAAATAAAGGTTGTGGGTGAAGACTGTGAAAAACAAAGGATTGGTGTATAAATCACTCGGAAAAACAATGTTGTTTCTTTCATTCAATTATAAAATTAAGGGTCACTGAGAATCATACAGACTAAAATATTCATCTCTTTGGTTTGTCACTCAGGTTCCTCAGCCGGCTGTGTAAGTCGAGACTAAAAAATATCTCAAAACAAAATTCTTCTCTCTGAGTAATGTATCTGTGGTCCAGAAGATAAATGTTTCTGGTTATGAAATTTTGTCCTCAAGGCATTTTCTCATAGAGGGTTTTAAAAGAACATTATTTTAAAAACATTGCATGCTTTGCTTTGCAATTGACTTACATGTGGTTAATACCAACTCAAAACCATTAACCTAATCTTGCTAATTGGTTAAGCTACAGTATACATGTCAACATATAAATTGGTGTTAAGTTTTTGTTGTTCTTTGCCCACAAAAGTATAGCTTAACAAAACAAAAAGCATAACAGCATCAAAAAAAGTTAAAGAATAACAATATGGCATTACAGTCTAACTCAAGAATACAAAATGTTATGGCTAATTATAAGTAAAACAATCTAAGTTAAATCAAAATGTTGAATCCGTTATTGTCAAGATATTTGGAAACTAAAAGATGACCCTAATTACTTATTAGATTAATCAAGCTGATTGAAATCTCTGCAAAATACCCTGTTTGTAAAAAGGTTCGCTGCCGCAGTTAATTTATCCCTACTGCCACAAGACTCTACAATGCGGCACTGCAACGGCAATAACTTGTATAATGTATAATGTGAAATTTACTATTTGATACCCTGTGCAATAACCTGTTTTTCAATATTTGACACCCAGTAAAATAACTATATATATAAATATCCATCTATATAAATACCTATGTAAACACCCTGTGCAATAACTCTGTATAGTAACCCTCATGTATATATATAAAGAAGGAAGCTGTATATACTATATATATCCAATGCACCCTTTTTATTCCTTTGGCACCTTCTTCTTCTCTTTTTTACTATTTGAGCTGATGTAATGGGTACATTTCTCCACTGTGAGATCAATAAAGTCAATCAATCAATCAAAACACAGTAAGGTAATGTTAAACAGGTTATCCATAGTGTATTTTTTTGTCTACCTTTCTGATTTTAAAATACTGACTCGAGTAACCTGAAAGACAGCCAGGGTTCCGATTATTGAGGTCAGATTACAGTCCTTTCCAGACATCTGTCTCTATCTCACCATAGCCCTCCCTCTCAGCACCGTTAAGCCTGACAGGCTCTGGCCCACTTAGTACAGATGGACCTCCTATTTATCATGTAAGAGCTGCTGCAATGATTGGGAACAAATAAATTGAATTAGGATGATTTTGAGGCCACAATTAAAAGAAAGATCCTTATTTGATCAACTAAGTGGTCGAGATGTTTGGAACTTGTTTATATCAGATCAGGCAATGTTTTTTTAGGCAAGTAGACCACTGCTATTAATACACCTTTCACTTGACTCACATGTCATTTGGTGTCTTAAACATTGCGTCAAACCAGATTAAGGTAATAGGCTTTTCTCCACGCAGCCGATAGGCATGTCCTGCTCTCACCGGCCTTCTTCACATACTCATCCAGGAACATGGACGCGTTTTGCACTTGGTTAGGTATCTTCTTTGTGTTAAACATTATCAGTCCTGGATTTTCTACTTGTCTGCTGGGCTGCTCCTGCACTAATGATTATTTGGGAAGGTAGGCAATGCTTTATACTTTAAAAACATTAAACAGTTACTTATATCTAAGTTATGGCCTAATTTTGAAAGTGTAACATTTTCCTTAGCATTTTTAATCAAAGGGGAATATCTCATATAATGAAAATATTGGCTAATTCTAGAGGATGCTGCACCTGCTTCATGACTAGGAACAACTTCTCTTGTAAAACCTTTGCTATGTATATCGTTCTAGGTCCCTACTGTGTATGGAAACCTCCATGGGACAGATCCCAGAGAATATCCCTAATGATTTTACTAAAATCCGAATCGAAAACTGCCACCTGACTGAAATACCCAGAGGTTCCTTCTCTGAAGTTCATGCCTTAGAGTTTCTCTGGCTAAATTTCAACGAGATCACCTTGATGCACATCAAAAGCCTGGAGGGACTTGCCAACCTGACTGAGCTAAGGCTACAAGGCAACAAGCTGACTTCGCTACCATGGACAGCATTTCAGAGCACGCCCAGACTTAAAATCTTGGACCTCAAGCACAATCGTCTAGATGTCTTGCCAGAGCATGCTCTAAGACACTTGCCAGCACTGACCTATTTAGATTTATCCTTCAATCAGCTTAGAATCGTATCAAAAGAAGTGTTCACAAATTGGCCTCTTTACCAAACCGCAGAGAAAGCGTGGGGGAAAGAAGGAATGGTTTCTAACGTGGTTTTGGCACTACATGACAATCCCTGGTCATGTGACTGCCGACTTAAAGGTTTTGTTGAATTCATCCGCGAGGTCAGCCCACCTATCATCCTCATGAACTCATACTTGAAGTGCTTAGGCCCAGCCTCCAAAGCAGAAAAGTATTTCCATGAGATCCAGCTAAAAACCTGCATGGAGCCGGTGGCTTCTGTCACAGAGTATAACATTTCTTTATCTCTGGGAGCAAATGCAACTCTGACGTGCCTTGTCCAAGCCAGACCTCTACCAAGCATTCAGTGGATGTACCCTCTGAAGATTATCAGAGGATTTTCTTGTAAGTTTTGAATGTCATTTACTGCAAAACTGAAGATCTTTTCTATATATGTCATGATATATATGCTGGTCTTTTAAAAAATAGGACGTTTTTACTGTCCACTTTCATATTGCTCACTGGAGGTAGATCAAACCACCGGGGCATGTCATTTGCAAAAAACCCATTGGGATGAAGAAATCTACTGTTAAATTAAACCACGAGAAAATCTGAATTCATATAAGTTTTAGGTTCTTGTTTTCACTATGTTGTTCTATCTTAGAGAAAACGGAATATAGTCAAGAGCAAAGTAAAGAGCATTGGCGTACAGTAAAGTTGCTCTAAATTAGGAACAGAGGTGTCAAAAGTATTCATGTTTATTACTCATGTAGAGTCAACTTTCTCCATTAAAAGTGTAAAAGTAAAATTTTTAAAACTACTCAAAGTAAAAAAGTAATGCAGGAAAAGGTGCCATGGACAGATGCTTTACTGCACTGCCTATTAATGGAACATCTTTCTACAATCGTGAATGATAATTTCCATATACTTCATTGCCTTAATTTTATAACTAATGGCAACAATGTCAAATTTAACTACTTATTTTGGTATGTGGCGAACCAGATGTTGGTGCAGTACCAATTCCCAGCACAAATAAATTCACTGTGTGGATGAAACAAATGATTTTGTTGGTTTTAATTTTTTTGAACTACCAACAGACCATATTGAAAATGAGGTTAAATGAAATAAAACTGTTTTTGAAAATGTAAGAAGTAGAATGTAGAGATAATTGAAAAAAAAAATGTTAGTAGAATTAAAAAGTAATTTTTTAAAATAGTACTCCAGTAAAGTATAGATAACCAAAATTTCTACTTAAGTAAAGTTTAAAGTATTTGTACTTTGTTACTTGACACCTGTGATTATGAGATACGTACATGCTACAATAGATTTTATGAAAATATTGTGTTTTATGTTTTCTTTTTCTTGTATCCTTGAAGCTACCCAGACTCAGATAGACGAGGAGACCATCACATCCCAGCTGGTGATCCCATCTGTACACCTAGCAGATCGTGGAATCTACACTTGCATGGCCAACAATTTTATTGGGAACTCCTCTGTCAGTATCTCACTCAACATTGATTCCTCCAACTCTGCTGCCCCTCTTCCACCCCCTGTACCCATACTGTCATCTGATGATAGTCCCCACATTGACATCCGGATTGCCAAGCAAACCATTTATGGCATTACCCTGGAGTGGTATGCTGTGACGGACAATTCTGCAGACATGTGGTTCACCATCTACTTTGGTAAGTATTCTTCCCCCAAGAAAGAAATGATCTTTATTGGCCCTGGCATAAACACCTACTCATTCAGCGACCTGCTCCCTGCCACCAAATATGAGGTGTGCGTCACCCTGAAGAACCACCCACCCAAAGAGGGTCAGTGCATAATTTTTGTAACAGGAAGTGACATTAGTGAGATGGAGCAGAGGGAAAGACTTATCCACATTATTGTCATTGTCTGTGCCATGGTTTTGGCAGTGCCTGCAGGCATTTATGTATGCACTACAGAGACAAGGTTCGGCTGTATGGACCACTGTATGGATTTCTGGAAGAAGCGCAGTAGACGTGGTGAGAACGCAGAGGGACTGGAAAGGCAGAACACCTTCGACAGCATGCAGGCAGCCAGTGATGAAGCGCTATGTAGGGATTCAGAAAAACCAACAAAAAGGAGAAAATCTGAAGACAAGAGCAAAGGTGGAAGTGCTGCTCACTTATACTAACATCAATTTTGGAAATTCCGTCTAAAATAAAAATGCACATCTTTATTTCTAGTCTGTGCCATCTTGCAGCTTTTTGTTTATATTTATTGGGATCAAATGACTTTGTTCAATGATTGGACACAAGTTTAAAGCTTTAAATTTTTTAAGTTTATATTTTTGAAGTTCCCATTGGAAACGTAAGCTGTCACCTGAAAATGCCTTTCTTCCTTGCTGCAGGCAAACATTGTTGATAACTATAATTACATACAAATATGCTCAAAAAGAAGTATTTATAAGCCAGTTCATTTGTAATATACATGCTTAATGCATTTATTTATCACAGGTATGTGAATAGATATCATGATATTGACTGTGTCTTACATTATGGGTACTGTTTTATGTTTTACTACAAATAAAACTTGTTCAACAAGTCTTCCTTTTTCCAGACCTCTAGATGTAATGTTTTGTAAAAGATATGCAGCACATTTAAGCTGGATTAAAGAAAAGACAAATGTTAAGACATACTTTGATTTTTCAGCACAGTCACTCAGAGGATTTGTTACATAAGCTGTGTTGTCATGAATTTCTACATACAGCTGGAAGATTATAATGATTTTTCATCTGAATCTTTATCAGCAGGACATTACCGGTATATCTCTGTTTTAATGAAAATTAAGAGTGTACCATAGAGTCCTTATACAAATGCATTTTAACTCAGTTAAAAATAAGAAAATTCAGTGCATACAGTTCGCTCTTTACTAAGCGTAAATGGCCTGTAAATGGCTCTAAAAGAGGCCATTTACAGGTCTGTTGTTTCCACTCAATGTGTACTTCTACACTTTCATGATGATTCCTGACTAAATTCTCTATTAATCCTCTGATTAAAGTGTGATCTGTCTGATTCCATAATTTTATTTTTATTTTTTTACATATTGTTGTTCACAAAATCTCTGTAATGACAAAGAGCTTAAAGGCACTTCTGGCCACTAGGGGTGCTAGACCTGTAACTTTCACATCTAGCGCCCTTAGTGCAACCTGACAACAGCCAGATGCATGTCTCGCTCCGCCCAGCTCCACTCACATACATCTGGGAACCCGTTCATTGAAAGTGATTTCCCAAACCGAATTTATGGTCTGTCCAATCAGGACGCAGGGCGGGTGTGTCCTGGAGTGGAGAAGCGACAGTGAGATTCCAACAACAATGGCGGCTCGCATTGAGGAAGCAAGCGTTAGCATTGAAGCTGCTATTTCTTCTGTGTTGTCCAATCTATCTGATATTGTTTCATCAAAAGAACATCAGAGAACGGCTTTGAAGGCTTTTGTTGGTGGAAACGATGTTTTCGCCCTTCTCCTGACCGGATTTGGCAAGAGCTTGATCTACCAAATGGCTCCTCCTCTCACAGCGTCACGGGTTAGCTTCGGTGTGAGTGGTTGAAATAGCACGTCAATAAAGATGACAGACAAGTGGCTTATCCAATCATATGCAAGGAGTTTTGATAAGGCCCAGCCTTCAGTAAAGGCAATTCCTATGGCGGGTTCCCAGATGTATGTGAGTGGAGCTAGGCGGAGCGAGACATGCATCTGGCTGTTGTGAGGTTACCCTTAGTGGCCACAAGCGCCGCAAAACTGTTGCAAGAGTCAACAGTCAGCCGGCAACCTCCCACGTCTTTTGATTTGGGACTGCACTAGCTGTCTAGGTTCACCTCAGAGGGCATGAGAAAGGCTGCTGCTCTCGGGAGAGCATTGCCGGGTCAGGCCGGATTGCGAACCGGCTGAGCTCCAGTGAAGAGCCACTAGGTCGGACCAGGGACCCAGGTTCTTCCAGGTCACATTACCTGTCCAACGATGGTTCATCTTCTCCCAATTTACACAGTCAGTATTTCAAGAGGGGAGCCCCGCTTGTAGCAATGATAGTGTTAAGCGCTTTATATAGGCCTGAAGAATCATTTATAATAACTCATACTGTCAACTCTTTAGGTCACATTCTGCAGTGACGTAAAGAAGAAAACATTTACATGTGTTCTCTAAAAAAAGCCCCAACACAGTAAAAGACAAGTTGCTTTTAAATTGCAGGATTTTTTTTTCTCTCAAAAAATTATCAAATTTGCCATTAGCATAGAAACTTAAACAAACTAGATGTTACCTCCCTAAAATGTACTATGATCCACAATATAATCAAACATAGATTTTTATAAATTAAACGATAGACCAGCCTCAAAAAAGGCAACAAAGAGATTAAATTATGTTTAAATATTTATTTAAAATCAAGACAGTACAAAGACAATACAAATATATTCAAAGGACCAGGCAAGTTGAATTCATATGTATTATATTCCGTTTATCTCAACTTATTTAAAACAAATATAAGTTAAGATCTAATTAGATACAAGTTATGATCACAGCAATAAGATGTTCTCTGCCTATCTTCAAAGGCATCTGAGAATGAGGTGGAAAGTATACTTATGTTGATTCTAAACGTTTTAAAAATATGCTTCAGATAAATATCTATTTTACAATTAAAAATCTCCCACCAGTATTGATGTAGCGTAACATTTTCAAGCATGCAATTATCTTTTAACAGCTTCCCACTTATAATTGGACTCCTCTTAGCTATATGTCTGAAACAATAAAATGCTATACATTTAAAATGGATGCATATACATTTATATAAAAGCTTTTCTTCTAGAATTACTCAAGCAGGCTCATGTTTCTACAGTGGCACATTGTCTTAATAAAAAGGAGCAACTTCTCAGTTTTGAAGCAGCTGATGTAACAGTAAAAATATCAATACACAGGTCCTGTAGCACTTCATTGTAAAATTTCACCATATTGTTTAGCTGCATGTTCCACAGAGCGAGAACTTTTTTCTGTAATTGGACTGATCTGGTGAAAATTTCTGTGCTAAACAATGCAGGTTTTGAAGCATTAAACTTTTCAAGATGCATTGAGACTAAGTCTTCCTAAGTAATCCTCCCCCAGGAAAATTTGCAGTAGTGCTTCTTGCTGTTAAGATCACATAATCTTCCTCGAGATGGCAATTTGGTGATTTATCTGCAACTACACCACTGAACCAAGCTCTCTTCAGGCTTTTTTACAACTACAGCAATGGAGGATGCAGTACAGCCTACTTCCTTGATGTCTCCTGTTTAGAAGTACATATCTTTAAAATGAATAAATCCAAAGATAGGTCCTTTTACCAATCATGACAATGACTGCATTTAAGATAAATACAATGTGCCATTAATAAATGGACTGAGCAACCTTAAACCAGATGTTTTTGCAGTTCCATTTAATACAACCCTTGGTTATTCTCATTAATCTTTTGCTCCAGCTTCATCTTAAGCTCAGACACCAATGCAGAGCTGATGTTTCCCTCTTTGCGGCGACAAGACTTTGTTTTCTTCAGAGCTTTGGAAGTCAGTGCACCAGATATGGTTGGGACCGCCCGGGGCCGCTCATTAGCCCGAATGTTAGCTGGAGGTGGAGGGGGCAGGAAAGGAGCGATAGGAGGTGGGGGTTTCAGCCTTGGGCTGCTGGTTTCCTGTGAGGGGCTGCTTTCCGGGTCGCTGATGAGGAACTTCTCTGCTGGGCTGGACAACTTGATGACAGGAATCTTGAATTTCCAAGTCTGCCCATCCCTGGGTCGCCTCTTTATGATGCGTCGCACTGGCATGATTCTGTTTGACTTTGAGTTTCGCATGTACATTACTGTAGAGATTAACACTGTCACTCCTACCAGTACAAGAATGATAAACGAAACCAGGCCTAAAGCTCTGAGAGGATTGTCCCTACTTTTCATTAAAAATGCTGCCATAGGCCCCTTGAGAGGAGTCTGTAAAAGAGGACAAATATAATAAGGTTGAATCTGAATCAAATACTTGATAAAGCATTCTTACAGAGCAAGAAGGCATAAAAGATGGATGCTGCAAAGCACTGACAGAGAAGGCCCAGGCAAAATGTCTATCATGCAAATCAAACAACAGGTTCTCACTCACTCCATTATCTATGTTTACTCTGGTCTACTGCATGAAACTGCTGATTCAAAGCCTAGAGCTAGAACTAGGTGCTGGGAATGCGTCTGACAGTGCACTGCTATGGGGCTTTTCTCTGAATGACTGACACAAACATGAACCATGGATCCTTTTATACCAAAAACGAGGTGTTTATATTAGGAGATGGAGACAGATGTGGACAAATCTGCTGCAAACCCTAATAAATATGTGCAAAGAAATTTAAAACAAAGTTTGTTTTGATTTACGTTGCATAATCTCATACTGAAAAAAACTATGGAAAAATGCAACTTTTAATAAGTATGGTGATGGACTAAGAGGGAAGAATTTCATATTAATCAAGTTCAACAAAATTACAAGTGGCATAATCCTTGATTCTCCTGAATTCAATACTTTGAACCCTCCTTTGCCAAAATAATACTCTTAGTTATTACAAGGTTAAAGCGATCTTATGGGTCCTATCTCCTCTTTAGCTCATCCTTCGTTTTCTGTAGGATTCAGACCACACTGCAACAGCCTGCAACTTTTCTGAATTTTTTATTTTCATTTACTCCAATTTTATGGATCATTATCCTTTTAAAAGTCATATTTATTACTTATTTTTGGCTTCCAGCAAAGGCCACTGGCCTTTTTATTTTTATTTTGTGGCATTCCTAGTAGTTCATAATGACAAGGACTCTAAGATAATTCATCAAGACCTTTTGAAATAGAAGAGAAATAGGCCCACAGCATCACAGCTACTCCATCATACTTTAAAATGTATAGGAGATGTTTTTGAATATATCTAATACTTTCTGCAAAATACAATTGGCTGACTGTCTCTGGAAAGCTTAATCTAAATCTGACTTTAATAAATCACACATTTTCAAAAGGTCCCCATTTTGAGGGATAAAAAAAAGTTGCAGGAATTTCTATCCCTTGTTTTGATTCTTTCACTATGAAATGCATTAAAAGCAAATCATTTCTTACATCCTTTTTTTTCCTGTGAATTATTAATTAATCTTAAATTAAAAGCTATATTTTTCTGATGTTTTCAGTATGAGATTAATGTGATGAAAGGTAATATTTTTAAGGCTCAACACATTTGTGCACATCTGCAAAAATAAACAAATAAAATAACTTTATGAAGTCATGTTCTTTTCGAGAAAATATTGAGCTCACAGGTAAACAAAAATAAAATGTTAAAAAATAATATAGTTTCAAGTTTTTTGTAATAATGGATATATATATATATATATATAACAATAAAAAATAAACATAAAAAAAAACTGTTGGAGTACTCCATAGAACAGACACCAATGTCTGGAGCCGAATCTTGAAGTACCAGTTCTGCCTCACTTCATTCTGCGGATCACTTTGATATAGTTACTCTCAGGGTTGATTCTGGACTTTTTCACTGCGTTACAGTACAGAATTGTGGATATGCAGATGGTCAGTAAAATTAGGGATGTGATAAAGCTGGAACAAATCCCAAAAACCGTCAGCGGACGCTTGCTAAGGCCCATGAAGTATGAAACCACTCGACCTTTGATCTGGAAAAAGCACGACCACAACACAGAAACAAAGCCAAAAACATGAAGGGCTACAAAATGAATGTATTATGAAAACATGGTGGATTAGGGGGAAAAAAACACATGTTTAATGGCTTTGAACCTTTAAGGATACATAGCTTTCAGTTCCTAT